GAAGCTATCTGTATTATTTGGCACAAGACTTTTCAGTGATCTCAAAATACTTAATTATTTGAGAATTACATAAAGGAAACTATATTTGGCCCTGATGCTGCTCAGTGCATACTTGATGTATGTGGAAGCAGGATTTAAACCTCGAGAAGGACCAAACCAAGACCAGGCTAATTTTTACACATTATCTGATTCACCAGGAAGAGAGGCAGTGAAAAGCAGGATGAGCTTTGATCATGTCTAATTACAGAATACATAGATATCACCATTGTCATGACCTTGCAATAATGTTATGGTTTTTTTCCTTCCCAGAAAAACGAAAATTTCCTTAAAGAAACAGCTGTGTCCTGCCTGCAGCCTGAAGAAGAATGGCATTAGTCACATGCAGTTCAACACGTAGCACAATTGTAAAGTTCACTCTATGAGACTGACAGGAGCTATTCACATCAGCCCCCTCCACCATCTGCCTGAATGGCAGCGGCTGTGGGGTGGTGACAGCCCCCCCTCCTGCCCCAGTGCTTGGGGACAGACTCTGAGTAGGCCCCATGTGCGGCAAATCAGGGTTTGAAAGCAATGAGAAGATGTCACTCAGGTCAAAGCAGATTGTCAAGAGAAAAAAATGGGGAGGGAAGAGTCAAAGCTAGTGGGAGTACCAATTTGCTGTTCTCCTGGGGAAAAGGTGTTAGCTCCATTATGGTGAGAAGCAAAGAGAACAGCTGAGTCTGGGGCAAAATCCTATATCTCCCTCCTTCCTCACTTCCTGAACTTAGAGGACTTGGATTTGGGGACAGGCTCTGAGTCCAGAGGGCAACCTGCTGGAGGATTGAACGCAGTCAGTGTCCCCTCTTGGTATGCTGCAGGACCCCTCCTGCAGTCAGAAAGGTCAGACTGGATGAAGGAGTGAGGTTCATTTTCATCCTGTCACCTGTTTTTCTTCTAATTTCCAGATGGTGACTTCTCTCCTCAAAGCACAAATTCCTGCTATCAAACCTTGGGGAGTGTGGCCCAGCATCCCTAAAATCTTTTCAATTGCAATAACTCTTAAGGTCACCCGATTCTTGCAGTATGATGTTAAGTAACATCTCCTACTTTTATGCCACTGGCATATCATTAACATCTCCTTTTTTCTCCTCATCTCTCCAAAACACAACAAACTGAAATCTTTGGTGAATTTTCAAAGTAAATTTTTTTACAATTTCTAAGCTTTGTTTTTAAGTAAAAATCTGTTTACTACTTTTTTTTTTTTTTTTTTTTAAATAAATGGAGATTGCCTAGTTTTAACTTGCATAAGAAAAAGATTAGAAGAACAGTGCTTAGCATATGGACATATCCAGATGAACAAATGCTTGCCCCAAATCAGGGAGGGGCAAGAAGCTCATTTCAACCCAGTCCAGCCTGGGAAGTATACTGGCACTGCAGTATGCAGCATAGTTATACAGACAGCAGGCTGAGTCCTGTGACAATGTTTATTACTCAAGCTAAGACGGTGAAAAAGTGTTCTTTTAGGAGAGAAAAATGCATTTTGTGTAAGCTAGTGCCAAAACAGTGATTTTGCATCACCTCTGTGCTACTCAGATTTTCAGTAACTGCTCTTTGCTTTACTGATCATTACAATAGTAGCAACGAGTTGGGTATTTGTGCTATCTCAGTTGCTCAGTGCACTTACTGCACTGTCTCCTCTCTTAATGGTTTGCATTACTGGGTCTGCTCATGCAGTCCTGGGATGATGCTGATGTTGGAATATCTGCGCTGCATGAGTGCCTGAGTGTAGAAATGAGCTGGAAGATGTTTTAGGGTAGAATTGGCTAAATCGTGACACCAGTTACAATGAGTGATGTTTTTAAAACACTTCCTGGGTATTTCTGTGGAAGAAAATAATTTCTCAGAGTTTCTGCATGTCTGGGAGAAGCATGACTGCATCCTTTTAGTGAATGGGTTTATTCCTGTGCTTCACTTATAAAAAGGAGTTAGAAAATTTCACATACCAAAAATTCCCAAGAAGACAGCTGTCAGGGGGTGACATGTCAGATATGAAGTGGCTCTCCAGCTGGTCCCTGTCTGCATGCTGGGAAGGCATGTGGAGACATTTTTTCAATTGCTGTACTAGTTTGACACGTTCACAGTGGAAAATGATGTATCATTCTTGAGCCTTTGGTTGGTGGACACTTCAAAGTGCACTGGATCCTCAGAGAGGAGTGCCCTATTGTTAATTGTTCCTTTCACATGTACATTGGGATGAACATGGTGAGAGCAGTGAGGAACAAAAGGGCTCCGGTGGTCTCTTAGGGAAAACCCTGTGCAGCTCAACCTGAGTCTGACCTTGAAAGGGTGGGTTGCTCTGCTTCTTAAATCCTGCTTGCTGGTTCATTCCTCTTCAGCTCCCTGCCGTTACCCAGCTGCAGGGGAAAAGGATGCTGGAGCGGCAAGTGTGGTGAGGCATGGGAAGCTGCCACGTGGTGGCCAAGGAGCTATGACCTGGGCAAGTGGCCCTCCTGGAAGGCACAGGCATAGATGGGCACTTGGAGAGAGCTTCAGTGGCGTGGGAGGAGTGCTCGGCTCCCCATACACACAGCCATAAATCCCCTATCTTTCCTGTAAATCCCCTATCTTTCCTGTAGATCCCCTATAATTGGATATTGGACTCACAGTATATTACATGAGTTTCTTAGGCCTCTAAAGACATGGTTCATTAACGTCCTCAGAAACTCCTTTGCTACCAGGCACCTGTCCCACATCTCTCTTTATCTTCCTTAGCACTTGGGGATACAGTGTACGTGTTGTTCAGGGTGTGGTCAAATGCTCAACACAGCAGGAAATTTGTTCCTCCAAATAGAGATAAGCATCTTGTCAAATGTGCTAGAAAACACTTCTCTCTGTAAACTTAGCTGCAGAGGAAGAACCTGTGTCAAGTCATAAAGAGGCCGGGCCCCAGCTAGTGTATCCCAAAATAGATGCTTGAGCAGATGACTGGAAACCTCCCCAGTGAAGATCTTACTGGAGAAGATTGCATGTAGACGTGCATCATGATGGTGTGAGGCAGATGATGGAAAGTCAGCTGCACTAGGTCTCCTGGGGAGGAGCTGCTTTTGGAATAGAAACTGAGAGGAGATAAACCCCATTGCCTCCAGCAGTAAGAGCAAAGCTGCCCTTCACTTTGCCAGTATAATCCTGTCTCAGACAGCACAGAAGTGCCCTCAAGGCTTTCTACCTTGCCATCACATTGCAACTCACTGCAGTAATGCAAAGGCTCTGTGGCATCTTCTGCTGTGCAGTGTCCTGGCCCAAGGTCTCCCTAGATCTGCAGCACCTGAGTGCTGCCACTGAAATATATGGCTTGGGTTGGACTGGGAGAAATGGCATGAAAATGGGGTGTCAGCACTGAGCACACTGGCATAGGAAGACTGGAGGAGTCCTCAGACCAGTGTACAATGGTACAGTCTAGATCTTGTCCTTCTCTAAAGAAAACTGGATTAAAAGAAATAAATGAAGAATGTTGCATTTTTCAGCTCTCAGACCATTGGTGCCTTATGTTAGCAAAGAAGATTTTTACTTGTAAAATGAGAGGTAGCTGGGACTTCAGCCCCTGCTTTCCCAGGGCTGGCAGCCTTTCCCTGGCTGTGGGCAGGCTTAGCCTGCCACTGTCCCTTTCCTCCCATCCCTGGGGTGCTGCAGGCTGGGAAACAAGAGCTGTCTGTGGGAGGCAGTGGATCGCAGGCTGGTACATGGGGCTGAAACCAGCTCTACATCACCCATGTATACCAAGGGCAGCCTTCCTGCTCTCTCCTATTCCCCCAGATCCCAGTTTTGCTGCGCTATTAAGTTATTGCCACCCCTCAGGGACAAGCCTGCACGAAGGCAGAGGGCTCACATAGCTATGCATCAGTAAAGGAAGCAGCTCAATTAGCATTTCACACGCCTTTTCTTCCCTCTCTTCTTACCTTCCCTGCAGCGGGCATGCTTTCCCCTTAAAGGATTGTCCTGTTTCTGCTCCTTGCCAGCGTTGGCAGGGTGACAGTAGTCGAGTGTGCAAACTTGTGCTATTGTCCCCAGGCCAGGGGGAGTCATGGAGACCCACTAATATGACACAGGAAAATGTTTGCTGATGGCAATTCTATGGGCTTTGTCTAACTCTTTCTCCATCATGACGACTCGATTTAAGTCTCTAACTGTTTGACTACAGATGCAAGAGTACTATCCAACTCCATCCTTTTGTCCGGGTAGTTTGAATGGGTAATTCAGCTTTTGTGTAACTCAATTGAGGGGGCAAACATAAAGACAAGATTCTTGAGCGCTCAAGCTCCCTTTCCATGGATATCTGCACATCTCTTTAGAGATTTGTTCCTTTCCTACCTTTTTCTGACATCATCCTCCCCTTAAAAAAAAAAAAGTCTCTGATGGGGAACGGTTAAAAGTAGGCTAGCCCAGTCCCCCATATTACATTGTCCTGTGCCAATGAAGCATGGTCAGTATCAGCCCCCAGACAGCTTTGGGGAGTGCATAGAAAAGGGTGCCTAAACTTTCCTAACTCATCGTCGGCACTCTTCCTTTGGATTGTGCCTTTAAAAAAGAAAGGCCTTGGTAGGGGTGAAGAGGATAGGGGAGAATGGTAGAAATCGCGGGGAAATGATTGTATTTATTAGCTGTCTTTCTGTGGCTGTCCCCATGGTGACAATTTGTGATGGCAAAGAATGTGAGAAGGGGAGGCTGATGCCTGATTGGGATGCTTTGTATTTGGCAAAGTGGCTCCTGATTGGTCTGAGAGAGCCCCGAACTCGGCAGAGTCGATATTCATTCAGCTTGCTCAAGTGCTCGCTCAACTGCCTCCACACACACTGGCTGCCTCCGTCTGGCCTGGCAGTGTGTAACCTGCCTAACGAGATTAGCAGGAAGGGGCTCTTCTTCACCAGCACCCACCGGAAAGCCCCAGCGTGCCGGGTGAGTGTCCGCGCTTGCTTGCAGGGACACAAGAGCAGCTGCCTTGGCTTCTTCTCCCCACCTATGCCTCACCTAAGGAGATTAAGTGAGCAGCCCTGTGCCAAGGCAGTGTTGCGGGACTGTAGGTGCATGGCAGCCTGCCTGCACAGAGGTGAGCTGGCGGACAACCTGTATGCTTAGCTGAGAAGTTTGACGCCTTCTCTCCACCTCCTGCAGTGTTCTTGATGCTTTTTGGATGCAGGCTTCACACTCTGAGTCTGCCCACCGTGTCTTGCAGGTTGGCCAAGGCTTGCCTGAAACGGATTATAAACATTTAATGGGAAATTCTGCACAGCACGTCCAGTGAAATGGCATCGGACAGCGAGGTAAAAACCCTGCTGAACTTTGTCAACCTGGCCTCTAGTGACATCAAGGCAGCCCTGGATAAATCTGCTCCCTGCCGCCGGTCGGTGGACCACAGGAAATATTTGCAGAAGCAGCTGAAGCGTTTTTCTCAGAAGTACTCGCGGGTGCCACGGTGCCACCCTGCCAAGCCCCTGGAATGTGGCCCACGCCGTGGAGCAGAGGACAGGGCCCGCAGCTGCCAGCCTGAGGTGCCTGAACCTGGCCCCCTCAGTGGGGCTGCCACTGAGAAGGTGCTGCAGGCAGCCGAGGTGGAGGAGAGCCTGGCGGGGGAGCAGGCTGTGCCAGAGCAAAACCCTGAGGTCAACAGGCCAGACCAGGTGCCCATGAGGAAACGACAGCTTCCTGCCTCCTTCTGGGAAGAGCCGCGGCCGCCACAGAGCCTCCCAGCCAGGGGCTTCCCCCCAGTCCCCGAGGGGCTACCAGTCCCCAGGGACCCTCCTCCCTTTGAGGGGAAGAAAAGCAAAAGGAACCAAGACAGTATTGGACCTGAGAGTCATGAGCCTGCCCTGAATGCAGGGGAGAAAGACGCCACTGGTGTACTCTCAGGCCGGGTGGGTGCCTGGACCTGCTGCCCCTTCCCCTGCCCTGGGCCAGCTGTTTACCAACCCCCAGGAGCGCTGCCTCCATCGCCTTTCCCAGGGCTGGGGCTGTGGAGGAAGGGCACTGCTACACTGCCAGCCGAGGCACAGCCCTTCTGCAAGGAGGCAGAGGGCACAGGGCAGAAACTGTACAGGCCTGTGGTTTTGAAACCCATCCCTACCAAGCCTACCATCCCCCCACCGATTTTCAATGTTTTTGGCTACCTTTAGCCAGAGGAAAGGGCCAGAGTGTGTGACATTGGACAGAATAACCCCTTAGAGGGAGTTGAAGCATCAGGTTGGGCAATGGGCACAAGGAGCTGGTCGAGTGTGGAAGGAGCTTCCATCCAGAGATGGTGTTCGCCCCTGCACAGGCTGGAGTGAATTAGTAACTGTACAGCCTCCATTCTTCTCTTCCCATGCAGGTAAAAATCAGGAATAAGCCCTATGAATCTGGTGGCATGGCATGTGTGGCAAATCAGACCTTTTTTATGGAAGCACATTGTTGGAGCCATGGCAAGCAGGGCTCTGGGCCACTCATAGTTTTGCTGCAATTGTAACACCTCGGAGACCTCTTCCATGTGGGAGCATCATCCTGGGTTGCCCTGCAGGCACAGCACTGAAATGAAATGAATTAAACTCACTGAAACTGTTTTTGTATGTTTAAGTAATTTTGGAGAAGTCAAGATATTCAGGTCACTTCCTTTTGCGTGCAAGAGACTGGAAGGACAGTATTTAATGTGGAAACTACATTTGTGAATTGATTTAAGCTCTTCTTGTGTGCAAATACTAAGAGAATTGAAAGAAAAAATAAAGGAAGAAGGGAGGTAATTTTATTCTGGTGATTCTGCAAATGCAGTGTGTTTACTTTTGCCCACTGAGTAGATGCAGGTTTAATTTGCAGCTGCTGGTGAGATATGACAGCTGAAATCTCTGTTTATTTAGAGTGATGTAATTCAGATTTAATCCTGATGCTGGGAAATCAATGGGTGTTAAACTGGTGCAAATGGGAGCAGAATAAGTTTCTGTTTCATAAATTGATCCTCATCAATAAAAATAAAAATAAAAATAAGGTGTTATACATCAAATACAAAAACATAAAATATGATAGAGAAATGTTTATAGTAGCTTGCCCTCTTTTTTCTCTAGCAGGGATCTTTTCTTTTGTCTGATTTTAAGATACAGTCACAAGACCTGGCTACAAATGATCTGCCTATTGTTTTCTTAATTATTTTGGTGAATTGGCATGCTAAAAGACAATAGGTGATTGTTTAAGTTAAGCTTCTCTTAAACCCATTGAGAAGGTGTTGCTAAGTCACAGAAGATGAGACCTGAAAGGTTTAATATTTTGTACCTCGTTATTCAGTTATACTGGAATAAATCACTGAGATCAAGAGACATGTTACGAGGGGAAGGGAGGGGGAGGACGGACAGAGAATGGGCATCTGTGCCCTCTCTGGGACTGAACCTGCTCTTCACGGAGTGAATGGGAGCTTCTCTTGGGACTCGGCAAAAAGTGACCTTGATCTGGTTGGCCCCTGGCTACTGTAGTGCTCTATCACTCCTGGTATCTCTACAAAGAGAAAAACAGGCCGTGCTTCTTTCAAGCACACTGCAGTCATGAAAAAATTATCATATTAAGCCACCATAGAGTTTAATTTTGGATCTTCTGATGGGACTTGCTGTTATGTAACCAGACTGCAACTGCAGTTAGGATATAAACTACTCTCAGGCTGAAAGTAGTTTATTCTTTCCCCAAACCTCTCAGTTTAAGCCACTGATGCTTATTTCAATGGAAATAATGGCTGTAGTATGTTAATCTTTCCTTGTTTCATATACATATCAAGCATACGTAGACTGCTCTTTTAAGGAGACAGAGCATGTACCTGCAACTCTGTGCAAGGTGCAAAGTGGTAAGGAGCTGGTATAAGAATTCATGGCATCAGATTTGCTCTTGATCCAGATATGAAGATGTCCTTATGTTTTTGTCTTTTTGGGAGAAAGAATCCATGAGGAGGCAGAGGCCCTCTGATTTAGTGAACGGAGAATTATGGATCTTAAATTGCAGAGCTGGAGGCAAGGAAATGTATGTAATTAGAAGCCCTTTCTCACATAAGCAACTCTGTATCACTGTTGTAATCCAGATGAAGCCAGATGCTGAATCTCTCTCATTGTTGCCAATGCAATGCACTCTCCTTGGCATTGCTCTTCATGTGGGTGACTGCTGTGGGCTAGTGTTACTTCTGGAGTTCAGGGGAGAAATTTGAAAGTGGAGTCCACTAGACCGTGGATTTCATCAGTTTTAAAATACTTGGCAAAGTGAAGATCTTCTGTAGAAATTTTATTTCTGAAGATATTCAGAAAAATAAGAGATTCTACCTTTTAACTAAATTTTTTATTTTTCTTTTTTAGTCTTTTGAAGTGTTTATTTAAATACGTTTTGCTGCAATTTTGATGTAACAGCACAGCCTGCTTTTAAATGAAGCTAAAGGATAGATCCAGGTTGTTCCAAGTGATCTCCAGCATGCTTATATTTATCAATTTACCCTCAGATTCAGGCCAGTATTATGTTTTAAAATCCTTACATTCCACTGTGACATAGGGCTTCTTCCTTCCCCAGCACAGGGCAGGAGGTGACCCTTGGGGCTCTGAGCTGGAGCATCAGTGAAATAAAACATGAATGATCAGAAGCCAGTTGCTAAGTACATTCAAAATCATAGAATGCAGATGCGTTAGACATTTCAAAAGGTGTGCAAAGAATAACAACTGTCTCTCTACCAATATTTACTATTCTCTCACCCCTGAGACTGCTATCAAAATTATTAATTGTGCAAGCTTGGATCAATTCATACTTTTCCTGGCTGTTCTACTGTTTAGTTGTTTAATTTTGCTATTCAGGACAGCTGATAACCCTTTAGAATCTAATTGTTTAATTCATACTTTGTTGGAAAGATGGAAACATAACAATCAAGAACTGCTGTTTACTACAACAGTGCAAATTTAAACTGTTAAAACTACAATAGCTTTCATAAATAATGGTAAATGAAAATCTTTTGTATAAAATAAAATAAAAAGCAAAATAGTGCACACAAACATAAAGTGAATTGCACATGTTGCAGTAGGATAAAGTACAGTAACCTGGTCATGAAATATTCCTATAGTATATCACAAAAAGTTATAATCTCTGAAGGAGCTGGAACTACTGATCTGCTTACAAAGCCTAGTTTGCTTGGGATGTTGGGTATTTATCTTATCACAGTTTTAGACAGATGCAGTAAATGCTCATCACATTTGTACAGATTCAGCATCACACATTAAACATTGTGCCAGTGACTGGAGTGTAGGAGAGGTAGTTGGCTCCATTTCAGTGCAAATAAATGTAAACTGACTGAGTGAAGGTTTGCAGTAAAGATCAAGAAGAAAGGGCATAATAATGTAATTACTAGGCTCTCCCTCTAACATACATCTCTCCTCAGTTGCTGTACACACTGTGTGCCCTCACCCATCTCACAGCTGTGGTATGCTCACATCAGGTCAGTGGCTGCTGCTCAGGACAGACAGCTGAGAGCAACCAGGATATGAGTCTCTCAGCAAAGATGAAGGTCTCTTGGCGGATAGAAGAAACGGACTTTCTGTATTTGCTCCACCCAAGACCAGTTTCATCTTGTCCAAGGACATAAAAAGAAGCTGTTATTCATGAGACTTTTGTGTACATAACGATGTTGGTTCAGAGAAAATTCCCAGTTTGGGATGGTTTATGAAATCTCATCCCTGCAGCTGGTGATTTCAAATCCTTCTGTCAGCTAGCAGTCTCCAGAGCTGACACTGCACACCAAACAAATGCTTACCTAAATGGTCTCCACCAGGCCATGCTCAGTATCCACCACCTGCAACGCTGTTCTATTACGCTTATTTAATTTCAACAGTATTTCTTCTGATTTATATAAATGTGAGTAAGACCCGGACCTTCACTGCTCAGCCCCATTAGCTAAGGGATGCAATAATTCCACACACGACTTTCCATTTCTCAAACTATCACTTACGATTGTATAGTCTAATTTTTGGGCAGTTCTGTGTGGAGCTAGGAGTTGTACTCAATGATCCATATGAGTCATGTCCAACTTGGGATATTCAGTGATTCTATGATTATAATTACAGCTCCTTCACTGGCAATACAGACTCCCAAAGGCTGGAGGAGTGCTTCAGAGGGCTGCTTAACCAGTTCTTCTCTGTATGGTCAGCAGTGGTGGCCAGTTCCTAACTGGTGTCATGGAGAGACTCCATCTTCTGAATGGCCCTACTGGGTAGGTGGCACTGTACCTCCAGAGACCTCACTCCTCCTGTAAGAGGTGGAGTTCACACTTCAGGACAAGGAAGCAGACCCTGATAGTGATGGAATTTTAACAGTGGAGGAATTTCATCCTATTTGAAAAGCTTTGCAAGAAGATCACAGTTCAGTGAGAATTGAAACTGTTGTTTTTTTCAACTGCTTTTGCATTTGGGAAGAGGACAGCTATGGACAGTGCCCTTAGCTGTGACCATTTCTGCTTCCACTCACATCCTATCCCATGAGTGCTGAATGCATTTCACACAAAGCCATCACAGAATCTGGACTTTTGTGCCCAGATAGGCCTGTGTGTGTGCAACACACTTTTAGTGCTGTGTTAAGTTGTGAAACCACATACAAAGTCAGTCCAGTGCATTTTCCCTACTTATATTTCTATCTCATTTCATAGTATGCAGGTCAACAAACAATAACAGATCTGTCAAGTCTCTGGTGGAGAATCAAAACAATCCCTACTTCACAGCTCTTATGTCACCTAAGGTAAGAATGGGTATGCTTCTAGAATAAGATCTGCCAAGACATGATTCCAAAATTAGGTTCTTCCATCCTTACTTAGGCGCCTAATCAGGACCGAGGCATTCATTAAATTTCAGTGGTTCAGCAAGTCACACCTGTCAAGTGAGCTGTAGTCACTGCCAATAACCATTCGTGGGCTCCTCAGTCTCCCCAGCTGTGAGGGAATGTGACTTGTTAAAAACTTCAATAAAAGAATTTCACGGACAATTATAGCGGTTCAGCTGATAGATGGCAACTTGTTAAGCTGCCATAAATCAGTTGTGTATCTGAGCTGTAAATAGGTGACCTAATTTTCAAAGAAGCTGAGATAATAACTTTCATCAATGTCAAAAGAACTAATAGATACTTCTAACTTCCGAAGTCAAGAAATTCAAGGCTAAATCCTAAGACTTATTCTGCCTCAGTAGTATCTGACACCAGAGCTGTCCCACTGGCTTCAACGTAATTACACCTGGCACAAGAATCTTGGCATCGTTTAGGCACCTGAATAAAGATTCAGAGCTAAATTCTGGGCATTTGTTTTCATAAATCTCGAAGTCTCATCATCTTGAAATAACCTCTTTTTTTTCTTTCAGTCATAGTATTGTTATAGTCACAGAAGTCAAGAAAGTAAGAGAGGCTGAGTTACATAGGGAAAAGATCCTCTAGTGGAACAATAGATAAAGTTAGTGTAGCAGTGTTGCTGTTCCCTGTGTATCTTGCCTTTCTTCTTCATCACTGCCCATGCTCCTCTAGGACTTTGTTCTGTTCAGATACCAGCTTCATGACAGACCATAGCTACTGTTTACAGTACAGCTACTTCTAATTTACAGAAAAGAAATATATATATATATGAGTTGCTTTCAAATCCCCAGTATAGAAAATCAGAAAATACAGAAAATTATCTCAAGCAGAATTTCACTAATTTCACTGCCTTCTTATGTAATACAACTTGAACTGTATTTGCTAGGTGTAAATACAGTTCTTACATCCTCCTTCAATAAAGCTTTCCTTGGCTTTTAAAGGAATCTGCACATCTGAGTATAGGTAAAAGTTCTGAGCTTTGAATGTTCAGAAATCAAGTACTCTACTGAGAAAGGTCCAAAAAATTGTTAGTAAGACAGTGTCAAACTATCAGAGAATTAGCAACCAGCACACTGAACAGAAATCCAAAACACAGAGTAGAAACTAAAATAAAAATCTGTCAGTGAATGAAATGTAGTTGTTTTCCCAAATATTTTGACTCTAACAGCTTCTGAATTGTGACCACAGCAAGGATGCTAAGCTCCACCAGACCCCAGGTCAGTGAATACCCTCACTGGTACTTGCTTCAGCGCTACTCATTTTTCAGCCTTCACTTTCACTTCTTTTTCTTTGCTGACCAAGCTCTGAGGTGAATCACATGTGCTTCCTCCTGTAAAACCCGATGTTTAGATGTCCACTCCTTTTTCTTCTCACTCTCACTCCAGAAGCTTATTTCTTGTAGATTAGTCATTGGAAGGCACTTGACCAAGCCAGCAGCTTGGTGTGTGCCACTGTCATGCTGATGACTCTGAGTGCCATACCAGGAAGCTGCTGACAGTCCACCATGCTTGAGGTCACTGTGTGTAATCATGCTGTAAGTATCGAATCAGTCTGCATGGAAGAGGCAATGTGTCAATAAGTTTAATGCGGTTTCTTCCAATCAAGCTTCGTACCTTGACACGGCAAAGATGGGCAAGCGGTCGTGGAGGCTCTGAAAGAGAGGCAGGTCAAAAATGTGAACTGAACAGGTTTAAACTCGAGAGGGAAATCCATGTCTGTGGCAAGAGGAGAATGGGAGAAGGAGTAAAAACAGGCTTTGTCTGCAATGGTGAGGTGATGTGTCTGCTCAATCATTCTGAGGCATGACATAGGGAAGGAAGTGGGACTGGAGGATGGGGTGATGTATCCCATGACAGCCTAGCAGTGAGCTTTCTAGGAGGATTTAAGCAAGATGCTTCACAGTACTCAGCCTCACATTTCCAGTTTATCTTCATGCTGGACAACTAATTCTGATAATACCTGTGAAAGTCTTTGGATCTTGTGAGAAAGTATATTTTGGAAGAGCCATGGGTGCTTGCTGGCCTGCTGTGGAGGTGGTCACGTTGTCCACTTGCCCTGATCTGCCTGCATCACAGGTAAATGTCATGCATCACAGACAAATGAGCCTTCCTGCTCTGGCAAGACTTATTTCCAGTGGGCCAGATCTACATCTGGGGTAAATTCAACATCACGAAGTCAACATACTCCAGCAATTTCTAGTGTCTAATACTTGGTTGAAAAATGTAATTCAATCTCAGTAGGGAAATCCTACTGAATTTAGGGGATGGATACTGTCTGTATGATTCTGCAGAAGTCAGGTTAAAAAACTACAGGGCTTTTCAATAGAAAAAATGGAAATGTAAGAGGAAATGGTGACTGACATTTTGAATCCAACAGTGGGAATATTTGTGGCAGATTCTTTTCTGAGTAACCATACCTGCTTTTTCTTTAATGACAGCCCAGTCCTCATAGCTGTCTATATGCTCCTTGAGCCGGGAACAGAGCTGGACATTACCCACATAATCCAGGAGAACATCAATAATTGGCCCAGCCCAGCGACTTATCTCTGGAGTAGACACCATATCACAAAACTTCAAGAAAAAAAAAAATTCACAACAGTCAGTAAAAGATGAATGCACCTGTAGAAATTATAACAGCAAAAACAACCCTGACTACTTTTGAAGTCTTTCTACCAACTGTAGAGGTAACTTCCAGTTTTACCTCAGAAAACTTTTTACTAAAGCCCCATTTAATCTTCCTTATTTGGGTCTGGACCAGGCACAGCCTCCCTTGCCCATTGAGCAAGCTGCAGAGCACTCTGAGCTTTAGCATGCAGAGCTATGGAGATTCTCAAGCAGTGATCTGACTTTAAGTAGTTTCATTTCAAAAAATTTGCCTTCCCACTTTAATCTAAATGCATGTTATACCAGACAGCTTCATCTATCTCTATTAGGGTGATACATATGTTGAAGATATCTGTGGATTTATCTACATGTGAGCAGTTAAATAAGTGAACTAAATCATGCTGTGCAGATAAGAGCTTAGACACATGGCCAAACACAATTGAACGATGGTCACTTATGCACTATACATCATCTTAGTCACTGAGACTGTCTGCAGGCACCCTCCAAGCCCGCTCCAAACAGGAGAGATAATGCACCAGCTTGAATCTCTTTCAGTTTAAACTCATTACTGTAATTAGATCACATATGATCATACATGTATGAGCCCTAACTCATAATAAATTAAGCCCTTGCGTGGATACTCTTATACAAAAATAAAATATTATTATATCCATGAAGAATAAAACTACAGAAAATTGTAAGGTCTTTTCATTCAAGGTCAAAGCATTCACAGAAGCATGTACTACTCTTCTGACTTTGCTTCTCTGAGCATTTCCAGAAAACTGAGATATAATGATTTTGGGAAGACCCCAAAATCCTGTGGGCAATCCAGAGTTTTCTACCTGGATTGTTCAGAGAAAATGTTGTTTGGGATATCTGACATTCTCCAGTGCCTACTCCTATGCCATTGCCATACAGTTGCATACACAACATGCAAACTGGGGATCTGCTCTACACCTCCAAAGAGTAAATCCACTTTGTCAGAGCTTAAATGAGGGTACAGTTTCAGAGTAATAAAGCACTGTATCTTACTGTTCTCTTTTTGACTCCAACCAGAGAGGTTGCCTTTTATTTTCCTTCTCTTCCTCATTTAAAAGCTCAATCTAAAAATATATTTTCCAGAATAAAAATGTTCCCAAACAGGTCACAGGAAAAGATACAACAAAATGAAGCAGAACGCAAACCTGCAACAACAGGCCTTGGAATAGTCTCAGAAGCGAAGTGGCTGCGGTTTTGGGATACACCCCCTGAAGTCTCGGCAGGCCTCTGAATGCCCTCTCGTGGCAGAAAGATGCTTCATTTCCCCCGCTCGCGGTTTTGGCACCGCAATTCGGGAGCCGGGTGCTGAGACAGCAAGCATTTTTCTGCATTCACTTTCATAGGAAATGCTAATTCAGTAGAATCAGTAATTATTTGTAGTTATGTATTTTTCAAACCAACTTCCAATAGCTCATAGTGTTACTGTATAGAGACTAACTCTGATTTATTTTCCTTAAGTAATTTGATACAGGAAGATAAGAAATGTGCATCTTATGCATAGAAAAAGCTAAAGATTCATATGACTCTCTATATTTTTTGGAATACAAACCATATCACAGCCATATCGTGAAGCTACCCCAAATAAGCATTACTTTTGTTAGCCAGAAACCTAACATTAACAAGCAAATTTAAAATGATACTGGAGGGAAGAAACCACTTTTTCTACTCTGTGTGCAGAAACAGTCTCTCTATGAGAGACTCACAGAGAGACATCAGTTCTGTGCACAGGTACAAGCTTACACAGCTTCTGCTGCTTATGTCACTGACCTTTCAGGTGATGATTCTGTTTTGTATGTGTTATTTTTTTAGAAATTAAAAATATGGTGAGGTGAGATTCAGAGGGAAATAGTGCATTTAGCTAAGAATACCTGTTTTTGTGTGGCTGAATTATCACATAGGGTACATACAAATACTCTCTCTTTGCCTTGGATTTTCAGCCCTCTTTTACTCCACATCCAAAAGCATCATGTTTCCAGAATTAGAGATAATTCAATTTAATGCCGATCATTTATTTGGCTTAAATAACACTTTCTTCTGAATTAAACAAAAATACGCCTCAGCTCAATAGGAGTTGACTTATTGCTTCCCTAATGCTTTCCAAAAGAGAAAGAGGACTACCATGCTGAGGTCTTTGTTTTGCTGCAAGTTGAAGGATAGTAAATTTTGACTGGAAGGTCAGATTCACTTTAAGATATTTTGGAAGGAGTCAACAAGCAGAGATTACACACACACACACACACAAAAACAACACCAAAAAACATCAAGAAAATGTGCACTCTGCAATTCTGCAGAGTCATTTAGGGAATTGAGAATCCAATTCCAGCCCAATGGAAGCAGTAGCTGAGCTTTGGAATGGACTGCAGATATACATGCATAAGACATGATCATCTAAAATGTGTAATTGGCTTTGAAAATATGAAACCATGGATTGAAATCTCCTGGTCTCTTCTGAAAGCCTCAAATATTATGAACAGTCATATAGCTAATGTAGTAATTTATGCACTCTCTCCAGGGCTGCTTATCCAGATTTGGAAACAGATGTTTACATTCACTAGTTTACCCTCGTAAGGTGAAGGACTATACAATTTTAATTTAACCAAGCGCTTAAATTTGCAGATAAATTATCAGATAAAACAATCATTACATGGTAAATAACACAAACAGGTTTCTACTGTCCTTTTGACACTGTCTGACAAGAAAATGTTTCAGTTCTGGCACCTCTCGTCCAGAGGAAAAGAGTATTGTGGAACTGACAACAAAAGCTGTCAAGATGGCTATCATTCATCTGAAATTCAGGGCTGGACATCAGCAGCTTTTGTCTGTGCCCACGTTGTCACTGAATATGCAGTTGGAACACTCACTGAATCTTACAAAGCCTTATTTTTATGTAAATAAATTTTGTAAAAAAAAGGATCTTCTCTTGCAGGAAAGGTGGGAGAAGAAATATGTGAAGTTATCAAGATAAATGGGTGAGAGATGTTCCCAAAAGTACTAAGGATAGTGTAAGGAGTGCTTACCTGCGTTATGGTTGGTTCTTTGGACAGCTGAGGATCATTAAATCTGTCCCGCCTGTAATTTAAAGCAGGGTGTGGGCAGTTTCCATACTGGCATTGAAAACAGGAAACAGCATCACAGCCAAGATCCAGGAGATACTTCAGCACAGAAAGGTACTTCATTGAAAACATGATGGTAGCTGGAAATGTGGTGGGATGGCTTGAAATATAGGCATCAATGTTTGCTCCATGATCGAGAAGCAGTTTCATTGTCTTCAGGCAACCATGGCGTATGGAGATAAGCAGTGGGTTGATGAGGTCAATGTTAGGGTTGGCTCCAGCTTGCAACAGGAGCTCTGTGGCATAGATATTGTTGTTAAAAACAGCAAAATAGAGAGGTGTGGTGCGTCTGTCCTCGTAAAGGCAGGACCGTTCATTGGAGAGGGTGGTGTTCACCTCATAGCCAGCATCAATTAGCTCTTCCAAGATGTCGTCATTGTTGCGTTCAGCTGCTAAATGCAGGGGACTGATGCCACTGCGCTTGATACGGATGCGACTAGTCACAGGGATCAGCATGGAGACAATCCTGTCAAGTGGAGAGTCAGTGAGCAGCAGTAAGTTGTAGAGGATCTACTGCAAATCCTAGCTGTATAGTAGTAACTGTAAGAGCCTACTAACTTGAGCATAGGAATGATTTGCTCTGAGAAAAATCAGCGTGAACTTGAAAACTACCCTCAACTCCCAATGCTTTTACATTGCCAAAAATGTGAGATGTGTTGCCACTCTTTTATGGAGGTGTAAGTTTTTTGAAATCATCACCAAGTTTTTTGAAGTAATGCCAGCCACAGGGGCAATTACAGTGGAAGAAACAATGTGCTTACTTCTTGCCTATCCTGCTCTAACTCATGAATAGCACGAATGGGAGACACCCAGTCAGGTTTTCCCAAGCGTTCTGCATCTCTGCCATCACTTTGTGGACAGCACTGGAGGAACTGGTGCAGGTCAGAGGAAGTGAATGAGGAAGCAGGGGATCCATCATGATTGCTCTGTGGTGAAGGACTTCATAGGTCAGAGCCACAGCAAGAGGCTTGAGACCAGAGAGGGAATGAAACCTCCACTCCTATGGGATTGAGCTGGGATAGACTACGTATTTAATTTCCAGACCTCCATGTCAGATTTTACAGTTCACTTTCTACTCTGGATTGAGCCCCATACTAGAGGCCCTCTGCACAGCTTTTGGCTTTGGTAGATCTGTGGGGCTATCAACGTTCATCCCAAGTGTTGGGAGCCAGAATGACAATTAGGAAAGGGGAGAAAAAGAAATAAAAATATTGTCCAGGCTGTTTGCCATGCTTTAGCCCAGGGAGGAAAAAAAAGTACAGCCAAGTCCTAAACTCCAGTAATGAGGGATTGCTATTGGAAAGTGTGATGCAGCCTTAAGCACAGCAACATAAATTGAGCTGCTCTCATTACGTAATCGGAAGTTCAAACATATGAAGTACAAGGGCACAGCTATCGTAAATTCATGAGCATTTTTATGTCTCCATAGGCATCACTGGAGCTGCATAATCAAACCCATAGGTTAAACTCTCATTTCCTGCTAATGAAGTTAGATGTCTTAGCTGAGGCACTAGCTTGGTTCTATACAGATAAGGCATCTTAAGAAATAGAATGAGACTAGAAATTGTCAAACCAGAGTCTACCTCCTGCCTATCTGTGAAAGCAATTGTTTAGCAGTGAGTTAAGCACATCACTTCCTCCTCTTCCTATGCAGAAGACTCTTATCTAGCAGTCAAGAGCTCTTCTAACATATAAACATGCAAAGCACATACTGCATCTCTTTTAAGATGCTGTACATCCTCAGCTTGACTGCAATGTCCCTAAAACTTACATTTACATAATGAACTAAGCACAAGGTAAGCTAGCCTCAGAGAAACCTTTGCCGGTGATGTGCTGAATGATCCTGTGAAAGACTGAGTCTCCACACTCCCAGGAGATGAAAGAAGAGTTGAAGACACATGACACTTAACCGGGTTATGGTCCCATTTGCATGGTAGACAGCTGATGTTTTCAAGGTCCTTTTACTTCTCATTTTTGCAACAAGGATTTTTTTACATTAAATAAATGTCTTAGGAGAATAAGTGCTTTTTTTACCCTTTATTTTTTCTTCTCTTTTTTTTTTCTTTAGGTAGCATCACTACTCTTATAGCACCTTAAGTCTCAGGAGTTGGGTGCTGGTGAGCTGGCAACTTTCCATTATTATCAAATGTTCTATAAGAGCTGAAATAGCAAGAAGGGAGGAGAGTACTGTGAGGACACCACGCCAAGTGCCAACATTCAGTCATCCCATGATCAACTGTTTGAAGATTTAAGAGTCTGTTTTGTTCTTTCCCTCCAGGATATGTGCCTTGGTCAGCTCTTCACATCTGAGTTAAAGATGTTCTGCCTCATTTCTGTCTGTGAGGTCCTGAACCTCTCTGCAGTGATGGCACACTAAGGCTTTATATCCAAATTCTGCAATGTCCCAGATCTCAGTACAACCCCTCAGATTCTGCTGGGAGGAAAGGCTGGAAATTCTATCACAGTCTAACCTGTCTGTTTTCTTCATCCTTCAAAGCAATTTGGTTCAGAAATGTGGCATCTCCACCACCACACTTTCCTATCTGGAGTGAGGAAGAATGTAGATAAGTGAAGGTAGTCAAGACTGAACAGACAAGGCCACTGATATTGTCTATCACAGGGCTGAGACTCATATGTAGTTTTGAAATATTGCTGAGTTTCTCCTTACACATGAAACCTCCTTTTGTGATTTCTGTTTGTTGGAAATTAAAGAAGAAGGCAGAGCATCCTTAATATGAATGTGCCAAGAGATGATTGACTTGCATTTACATAATAAATCTGCCTACACTTCACAAAGTCTTCTTAGCTCCCCAGTTCCAAGGGTGAAGGAATTAAATGACAGCTTACACTTGTCTTAGAGCTGATGAGAGGACCTTTATGAACTTCATGTCAGTACTGACAAGGTGTCGTTTAAAATAAACAAACACCAAGCAACAAAAATTGACAGTTGAGCCTTGGGATTGCATTCTTGGCTTTTTGATGGTAGAGAGACTTTGTGCTCTGGCAAGAAGTTGAAGCATGGAATTCCAGCAGAATTACGTATTAAATCTTCAGGAATACAAAGAGAGGTCATCATGAAGGGTGTTATTTTACTGAATACCAGTGGAATTAACAATAATCAGCCAACTGGGCTATAGCTTCATCGTTTAGATAAATATTTATAAGATTTATAAGAAAATCTTTTTTCTTCCTCGTGTACTTCAGTTCACAGCAGTTGGGCAGTTGGGCATAAAAAAACTGTGCTCAATCTTTTACAAGTAAACAAACTCAAAGTTTGGGCTGACTTCTTATCTCATGTATGCTGCTGAGTGTTGGCAATAATAGACATGACCTCCAAATCAGGTTGGCTGTTTCTGTCATAACGTAGGGATGCATTCAGGTTGCTGAATTTCCATGTTTTCAGATTGGGCTATCTATCTACTGAGGGAAAGAATAGAATCAGAGAACTGGTCCAGATTCTATTTAGAGATTGGATTCAGATCAATTTACTATACTGTCAGATTAACTATTTTGGAAACAAACAATTAGAGCTGGGTTTTGTCTCTGGCAGCTACCTCATCTAAAATGTGTTTGTTGTCAAAAAACTGTCTTTCTAAGTCGAACCCCAGAGAAAATTTTGAATCATGCCTATATTAGTCTATGCAAGATATTTATGTATGTGCTAGAAGTATATAACCCATTTACATAAATTGACACTGGGCCACTCCCTGAACATATAGCTTCCACAAAGCAGACCTACTCCAATTACAGAAAATAAATATCCTTATGTCTAGGAAAGTGATTTGAGAAGTGTAATTGGGCTTTCCAGATGGACTCAAATGCTAAGATAAAAGATGCTATAGAAAGGTGTAGTGTTGTCAAAAGTTTTAATTCCTCCGACATTGTGAAATACATGAGAATCTTTTGTAGCAGTTTGCATAAACACCTGTACTATGCAGAAGCAATTTTTGCATTTGGATAACTATTTCTTGAAGGGTTTTGATAGAAATTGTGGTAATGGAGTCCTCTACAGTCACCAAAAGGTTCAGTGACTGCAATTAGAGGTATGATTGTATTTTGCAAAAATAGCTGTGGGCTGTGGCAAGGAGTTTAAAGTGATTGCTAACTTCATATACAGATGTTTTTTTCATTTCATCTCATATTTTGTGGAGTTCTGCTTAATCTGCTTTCAAGACACATGTGGTTGTTTAGCTGTAGTAAATGATATCTGGGCAAAGCTAATGTGATCTTTCATCCCATATTTCTGCTCACGCATCCTATTCATCCTATCCTGCAAACTCATTCTGTTCAGTTTATTGCAATCTCCCTAATTTGCAGTGCTTATAATTGGATCTAGGACATAAAGTCCTTATGAAAAAGAGAACTTAGGATTTTTACCTAAAAGATGAAATTATAAAGTAAGCTAAAACTTACTCGCAAATTCCCTTCTTGGCTGCTATGTGAAGAGGTAGGAGGCCATCCTTATTGGCTTTGTTAGCGTCAGCTCCTTGGGACAAAAGAAACTCTACAATATGTACATGTCCATTTTTACAGGCTTCATAAAGAGCAGAAGCACTATCACAGGCTTGAGTATTTATATCAGCACCTAGGAAGGAAGAAAAAAAAATTATAGGACCAAAGGGTTGAATCAGATGGGGGCAATATGCACTGAATGAACACGTAAGTCTCCATGACACTAGAGCTACACCGTACGCAGAAAGGTGATGTGAACAAAACCTGATTGTAGCAAAATGAAAATGTTATACAGTTATTTTATAGATCTCCAATGGGTTTTACCATGATGTTAATTTTATGAGGGAGAGTTTATATGGGCAATCATTTTCTCACTGAGAGATTGCTGGGGAAAATAGAATGATAAAGTGATAATGCACTCAAGAAAAGGAGAAATACACTCAGGATAAAATAGCGGGTATCACCCATCAGCCATGAATCCAGGCTCCATTCATTTGTATTTCATAGATAAACATTTTAAAATGTGCTTGCTCTTTATTCAACATGTACTTTTCTTTAGACGCAACAATTCCATAAGTACTTACATATTTACACTATAGATAGATAGATATGTATAAAATATTCCTGAACAAGACTGGGGACTACATGACTTTAATACATGCTCTCTTAAGTAAATTGCTTTATGATTGTATATTTATTATTTATTTATTTAGGCTTATTAATATTGCTTATAATCCCTATATTCAAACTATAAGTGAATTTACAATGTTTATACTATATTTTAATTTTAGTGCATATCTAGGCTAAAATTGGATTTTATAACAAGACATCTACATATTAACCAGAAATAATTCTACTAATATTTCTTTTGAGCAAGATTTGGTCAACAAATATTTCATTTCAAAATTCAGCATCTAAGGACCTAGCTTTTTTTTTCAAAGGGTTCTATTTAGGGTCCAAGTGGTAAACGTTAGCTAAGAAAGGATGAATATTTTTCACGAAGTTGTAGTATATTTTTTCTTGTACTCTAGTGGATGCTTGTCTTGATAAACAACAAGAAAAATAAATCAAGCCCTAATACTCTTTGACCACATACAATCTGGAATCTTGGTCTGAAATTTAAACTCTGAAATACTGGGTTTTGACTGCAATATACTGCAATATGCAATGTACTATGCTGTCCTGAGAAAGGCTGTTTTATATGTATCCTAAATGGGTATGACAGTTCACTAGAGTTTTGCTTCTAAACTTCAATAAAGGAACAAATCAGTCTTCCATCAGATCATGAAAACTCCCTGCCAAAGAGAATATTTCCTTTTCCTCTCACCCCAAAATGAAACATCTGTGTTGTGTTTGGCCCTTTGAAAATGTTGTAGCTGGAAGCATCAAGAGAATTGCAGTGACAAAGCATAACATAGGACTATGTTCTTAATGAAAAAGAAATGAAAAAGAAACCCTTCTTATGATGAACATTGCTCATCGTAAACAATGCAGTGATATAATTTCTGGTATTCTCAGAGGAGTTTTAGAAGGCTTGAAACAATTGAACAATTTTATTGGATTTTCTCTTGTGTATTTTTCTCAAAATTGAACTTTAAGGAAATCATAATGTCTAAGTTGAAACACAGACCACATTCTAGTGTAATTTCTAAAATTGTAGGCAGTTTGATGGACTAAATGGTCATACAGAACTGACTTGACAATGTTAGCTGAACAGCAGATTACTTTTTTTTTGTTGTTCCCTGTCTTTCATATATTTCTTAGCCATAATAACTGCCTTATAAGTTTTTCATATATTTATTGCCATTTAGCTCTTCTTTCACAAGAGCAGTATCCAGTTCTTACCTACACTGAAGTATTAGTCCAGCAAGAATAAAATATGCTTCAAAATGGTAGTAAAATCTATGCCCTTATTTACACGACTGGAGCAGTAAAAGGTAGGTTTAGTGTAAATAAAAATCAAATTCACTCAGCCTATATGTTTGAATATGTACACATGAGAGAAACTGAAACTGCTTCTCCTTGGTGTAAATCCATTAACTATACAATAGGACTTTGTTTTCAGCAGTATTCATTACTGGAGGAGAGCTAACCTTGTCCATTAGTGGCATATGTTTGTGAGCAGATGGGATTGGCTAATGTTCAACTTCTGCCATCTCTTACCACCTACCGTTTTCTTTTATGACTGGATTTAGACTACAACTGCACAGCAATATAGGTTTTAAAAGCTGTAAGGCAATTCAATTAGAGGATACCATATAATTTCCCAAAGTAGGTGGCCTCAAATGAATGCTAAAGAAGTGCATGTGTATAGACTATGCTCTCTAAAAGACCCTACATAAACTGCTGGAGCAAAAGGGTTTCAGCATCTCTACAGGCTAGTACTTATCTACAAAGATAGAAAAGCTGAGACAGGGAAAATTAATGGGACCTTTGAAATATCAAGGATGAAATGAGCAATGGTGTATTGATGGCACAACTCTACTCACCACATTTTGCCAGGTATCTCAGAGCTTCCAACTGCCCACTCTCAGCTGCCACAAATAAAGAAGTGATCCCATAGGAATTTGTAGACTCAATCTTGGCACCTCCTTTTACCAGGATATCCATAATCTCCAGGTCATTTCTGGAGACAGCCTCATGGAGAGCAGTCCATCCTCGATTGCAGCGGTGGTTGGTATCAGCATTGTACTGTACCAGGAGTCTTGCAGCCTCTGCATTCTTGCGCTCACAGGCTGTTTTGAAGAAAAGGGAAGTGAATAGTACAAGCTTATGGAAAGAATCTGGGTGTACTGGGTATTCCCTTTACAGAGCACAAGCAATAGAACACTGAATAAGTCAATAGATCCATCTTGTTCAATACAAGGGGTAATGTTGCTGGCAAAGGACACTATCTGGGACTTGCACAGGATGCAGCAATGAAATCAGACTTCATTCTGGGCCTTTAGGAGACTGTGTCATTTGCAGGGCATGCGCCAAGTGTAGTTCTGAGGAAGATCAAGCCCAGCTTTGTACTAGCTGGACATCACAGTGACAAAGGGAGATGACAAGGGACAGAATATAAATTATGAAGGAAGAACATAGAATGGCATAGAAATAGCATGACCTGAACATTTTCTTTACAAATTCTGAGCAAAGTTACTCTGGACCTTATTGTTCTGAACTACAAGTAAGTTTCTATATAGATAAGAAACTGAAAAAAAAAAGAGTCAGCAGGAAAAGATCCTTACTAAATATTAACAAGGGGAGTCTATAGAACTCTGTCAGCCTGCAATTCACAGCTCAGGACCATCCTCAGATAATAGTATTTTCTTGATAATTTTTATTCTACCAGTTTGTTCACTGCTCCTTGAAACCCAATCTGTCAGGCTTCCTATACATTTTTACTGTGGCATCCCAAACCAAAGGCACTTGAAATAAGCAGCTACATTTACAGTTAGGTTTTGTTGTACAATGTGCAGACAGGTGGGACAGCACATTTCATACCAGTTGTTACTCAGGGAGGCAGCAGGGCCAACTTCCCTCAAGGTGTTCCTGAAATGTGTAGATGTGGCACTGAGGGACATGATTTAGTGATATGCTGGTGATGGATTGATGGTTGGACAGTGGTGTTATCCAAACTTAATGACTCTATGATTCTGTGATTCTATGCCTGAGGTGAACAAGGTAGGGTCAATACTGTGAGATCTCTCCTAGTGGAGCTCATTATCCTGGAAGCTCTGGACCTCACCTTTGTAGAGGGGAGTTTCTCTGGCCTTGTTGGAGATGTCAGGCTCAGCCCCAGCCTGCAGCAGGGCAAGCAAGCAGTCCATGTTGCCCCGGCTGGTGGCCAGGAATAGAGCTGTCTCCTCATTGAGGGTGCGCTGGTCAATCGTGCCAGGGTATGCTGTGAAGAAATCATAAGCCCAAAGACATTATGGTGTAGTGCTGTACAAATATCTGTAGCACCTTTAATCCTTATGGTTTTAAATAAGCTTTTGTTCATTCTTTCTTTTCAGTAAACAAAGAAGATATAATGGATTATTATCAATCAGATTAATCACTGACTCAGATTAAAATGTTCATCTGTGTCCAGTTGTAATGCAGAAAGCTGTTGAGTAACTACACTTCAGCAGCAGTTTGAAAACAATTTGCAGTAATTAAACACCTTCAGTCTTTGGCAAGGAAGTTCTGGTTTTGATCTTCAGCTAGTGAGACACTGATGCCAACTGTGGATTCCAAGTAGCCCACAACAGCCAAGATTCAAGCTACAAGGCTGTGAGAAGTCTGGTGACAAAATCTATCCAAGCATCACTTTCTCCTGAAGATCCTAACTTTTAAGGCTTCCCCTCTGGAAGCCTATCCTCAAAGAGAAAGTGAAATTAATATTCAGTCATAGAAGCTGAATAATGCTTCACACATAGTATCAGACAAGGACTAGTATGATACTAATTCTGCTATTTGGCTTACTCATATTCTTCTTCCTTCTTTTGTAATTAGTTTTAATTTCACTGACCTTTTTGCAACAGGCGCAGGCAACCCACTTGGCCATAGTATGCAGCTTCATGGAGGGGTAACCAGCCATCCTTATTAGGTTCAGAAAGGTCTTTTCCTGATTTCATCATGTTGCAGATCTCTTTTTCATCTCCATCCCTGATCGCTGCTACCACAGGGTCAAGTTCTCTTCAAAACAACATTAAAAACTGATTACTGCTTCCTTCGTTACTGAGAGGTCCTTTGCAGCAATATCATTTTGAACATCATTTGAACAAAACAATGAAGTCCTACACAACCCATATGCTAAGAATTTATACCTAGCTACAGGGCCTATGTAGGTGAAATTTATCTATCTGCTCTAATTAGGTTATTCACAACAGATCAGAATAATCTCTTTCTGGAGGTGCTGATATCTTTCCATAGAATATAAGGAAGATGTGGCTAAACTCTGACATAAATGTTATTATTTCAGATATCTGTAGTTGAGTAAGTCCAGTTCTACACTGTCCATGCTTGTGATAATTACATCACCTTGCCATTTGCTGACCCAAATGGCAAGATGTTTACATATGATATCTCAAAACCAAGTTCAGTTTAGAGAAGAATTGCCCCTTTCCATCACTGAAGATAATTTTAGTTTCGATTTGCAGATGGCTTAACCTTAAAGGAGAAGTTCTTAGTTAATCTTCTTCTTGTGTTGTAGAGGTACTTCTCATTTCCCTTGAGAAAGTCTGTTTTCAGAAGCTGGCTGAGCCAGACATCTTTTTTGATGTTACCTAATTCTGAGCCTTTTAGGAACTTAGAAAGAGGCTCACTGATAACCTAGAGAAAGCATGGAGTACTGCATACCATGAAGAAGTGAAGCATGATGAGCACTCTGCAGGTGGGCTTCTCTCTGATAAGCCTTTCCTTTGCCAACCTGCATCCTGCACAGACCCAGAGGTGATCTGTGCCTTCCAGAACCAACAGGCTTTCTGGCCATGCCAAGAGAATGCAGCCACTGCTTTCTTATTTTGAGGCAGCAAATTGCCCATATCCAGGGCAGTAAATATCCCAAGGGAAAAAGCATTCTTCCAGTTCTAATGGCCACTTGCAAAAAAATGCACATGGGTTATATTTTCAGAGAGAGAAAATGTAAGGATGCTGAAAACCTAGGAAAGCCTGTCTGGGGAGGGAGGTGTGTGTCTCAGGAAGAGCATTAGCACTGCCACGGTAGGAATACAATAAGCAATGAAGGTTGTGAATGACAGCAATAGTAGGAATGTCCAGAAACTTTGATTATGACAGGAGATCTAGAATACAACTGCAGGGTGAGATCAGAGACAGAAAAATATGGCCAGCTCAGTATGCACGTGAGTTCCCAAAAAACCACATCATTGGTACAATCTCTGCATTTAGTGCAGGTTGCAGGAGCAGCATGCCAAGGAATAGAGAAAGAAATCATTCCCTGGGTGAAAAAGGCCTTGGTGCCACTTGTTCTCTCTTTATATCTGGAAGCAGCAATCTCAGGACAGCAGAGTCACAAAAATAGCTACACTTAAATAGTAGGAAGATACTGAACAAAGCCAAGCATGGTACCTGGTGAGATAACAGCTAAAGCACATAGCTACTGTCCTGGACACAGCTCGCCAGAAGGAATCCACTTATCTCTTGTTAGCTGAAGTGCTGACATCCTGGGGACTCTGCTGCATCTTCATACTACCAAAAGTACCTGAGGACTACAACTAAAATTGCTAGCTTCTAAGGGATAAGTAATTTTTATACAGGTGCTTGAAATCCAGCATTTTGCTGCAGTCAGACAACATCAGCAATTGGTGTGTTTGGGAGAAAAGGAGGTGGGGATCTTTAGCAATCTCTGGCACAAGGAGGCTGAAGCCATCTGTTGCTTTGTGCAAAGGTTCACGTTACATAGGGTGAGTTGCTCACCACGACCTTGGAACTGGGCATATGACGGAGTTACCAGCACTGAATGAGTCACTGCATGCAAGGTCGGTATGGCAGAAGCCCCTGGGTGGTGCTGGCACACAGCAAATGCAAGGTGAGTCACATTAATTGAGGCTTCAGTGAAAGCAGACAGCACCTCTTATCGGTGATAGGGTTAAAAATGTGTGAAGAATCAGTTATTATTCTGCCTGAGCCCTCAGATGTTGAATGAAGTAAACTTCTGTTGAGATCCTTGACTTTAAATGATTTCTAAGTAAGAAGAGGGGTTTGCTGGACCAGGCTGCGGATGCTGTAGCCAAGTAAATTTCAGATCAGTATAGAAAGTTTAATGAATCTCCATGTGAAATTCTTGTTTTCTGCCTCATATTTGGCAGTTTTAACAAATAACTGACACATTCTGCTGCTTGGATTTCATCAGAAATAGAAAAAAAATAGTATTAGGATATTGAATGAGTCTGAAGTTCTGATGAAATCTTAACCTTAAGGGCTCATTGAAAGAATTACTGCATTTCAAAGGCCAGTAGCCAAGCTCATAAATACTCATTGCAGAAGAGATGTATGGCAGGGTCAGTTCTGAGTGCTGAAGAGGCTCAAACGAGCACAGAAGGGTTCAGAAGCTCCTCCTTTTACCTGCAGCCTGATGAGATGCAGGCAGCAGGAAGGAACACCATCTCTCCAGGTGGACTCAGCTATCAGCTGTGACTGCCTCTGAGACTAGGGCCCTAAAATTGCCTTGCCAGCATGCTCCTCTGTGGCTTTCCAGATACACTTCTGCTTTCACAGAGGAGGACTGGTTTATCAGTGTAGTCCCAGCCTTCATTGTGGACCAAGATCTGTTGAACCATGTGATGCAGGAAAAGCCATCAGCCTCCCAGTCATCACACCCAGAAGAGTATGATAAGGTATGCCAGGAGTGCAGAGCACGTCAGTTCATGAGAGGGTGCAATTTTCGTGGTACCAAGGGGAGGTGGTAGGTGATGGGGATAAGGGGGGACCCTAAGTTCCAGCAGAGAGGTTTTCACAAGTGTCAGGGAGGGCAACGTCAGCAGAGAGAGGAGACAGAGCCTGGATCAGCCCAGGTGCAAGGAAAGATGGGGGAGAATATAGAGAGGGGAGACAGATGGAAGGAAGAGGACTGGTAGAGCAGTAGTTGTTGCAACTATGCATCCATGGAGGGTCTTGAATAGAAAAAATAGTTTCAAACTGAGAGATAGAAAAGTTAGAAAGGAGTTTTCTGCAGGGCACAGAAAAATGCTGCTGCAACTCTTTGGTACAGCAGGTGTCTGTATCTACTCTGTCTTGAAAAGGGCTGAAATAATCCTGTCATGGTCTGGACACTTCCACTATACCCAAACACTGGATAGGGCCACCCCCATGCAAATGGACATAGCATTCAGCAGCATTTATAAGACATCACTTTGAGAGCCTGGATTTCCCACCTTGTTTATATATTGTGGTAGAAGATTGCTTTTCACACTTTTCCCCAGAGCTGCCAAATGACCCAGAGTCCCCAGGATATGTGCACTAGAGGGATAAAGAGTTATGAAGGGAGAAAAGAGGGCAAGGGAGATGTGGGACAGGAGAAGGATGGGAGGCACTTACATGGGCTGGGCTGTGCTGCAGAGGCTGCCGTCGTACCTTCGCCTGACTGCCCAGGCTGCCCCTGCGTTGGGCGGCTGAATGCGGCCTCTGGCTGCCAATCTGGAGTGGTGATGACATGAATGAAATGAAGAGAAATACTCTGAATAAGAGAAACAGGTCATGTTGAAGCAGAAACAGAGACACACATCCGCAGAGGCAGAGAGAGGAAGCGTGCCGGTCAGGGCTTTGAATAAAAGCAGATGGCCACAGCTTGCTCTGTGTTGGATTCAGCTGCTCTCTCAGCTCGAGATTATTTTTGGCCCTCTGAGGAAGCATCAGGGGATTCAAATGACCATATAAGACTACAGTGAGGTTAACCCTGCTGCCACCACACAGGAAGCAGACATACAGCAAAGCAACATTCATCACCTCCCCAAATGTCACGTCACGCAAGTAGGTCTGAGCAGGTGCTGGAGGAGGACATGTCTCTACCAAGTGGTTGAAGGGCTCAGCAGCACTACAGATCTGGAGCTACAATGCTGCAAAGGCTCTTCTGGGAGGTTGAATGCTGCTGGCCTGAGGCAAAGGCAGGGGATGCAGAGAGCAGAAGATGCAGTTTTGTGCTAAAAGCAAGGACTCCTGAGGAGGACAAGACTAAATGGCCAAGGAAGTCCTTATTATGCACAGCACCAGGTCCTCACAGAAGAGCTGACATTGCAAATGCAATGCAATAACCCCGAGAAGCCACAAACTTCAGCTGGAGCAGGAGTGCACTCTGTAAAGCATCCTTGTTCTGCAGCTAAGCACACTTCCAGCTCCTCATATTGCCCCACATTTCCCAGATTTGGGATCCAAGTAAGAACAGCAGAGTTGAGAGAAAGGGGGAAGAACAAATCTTCATTTTCTTGAGGCTTATTACAAAAATACTTTACAAGGATATTTTCGCATCTGCCTTGATTATGGGGAGACTTTCTACTCTCTTTCACCCTCTTCTAGCCCTCCTTCCCTTTTCTAACCTCCTTTCCCTTGAGAAATCAGCCTTTAAAGAAAAAAAAAGGAGGATGCCTGCTTTGGCAGTAGGTTTCCACAGTTGCCACGTGGCTACATGGTGCCTGCATGGCTGGATGCCTGGAGCTGTGCTTGGCAGGGGCAGTGTGCCTGCGACCAGACCTGGACCTGAAATAACCACATCCCCCACGGCATCTAAAAGGTGGCCAGATCACACTGTTTTATACGCTGGTTTTTGGCCTCTCTCCTATGTTTTCCCATAACAAACACTGTGCTCCCTCTCTGGCAAAGCTGCAGCCTGGAGTGCAGCATGGCAGAAGAGAGCTGCTGGTTTCCGCAAGGGCTTCTTTACTTCAGGAAAACACACAGCAGTGCCCTTTCTGGTTTAATTTATTGCTTAAACCAGACAGCTTCGGGCTGATTTTCATTTCACTGTGAGGGCGTAAATTGTTGACCTCACAGGATTTATAGCAGGCTCTGACTTTTAAACTAATGACAGACTCTCAGACCAAGCGCACGAAGCTGCTTGGCAAAGCTAATTAGAAGGGCACGTGTTTTGACGGAGAAAACTGGCAGGCAGCACATTTGTTGCTCACTCACCTTTGCCAAGGGTAGAGGTGGTAGGGAGGGTTGTGGCTGTTGGCACGGATGGGGGCAGCTGCCTCACTGGGACCCCCTCCCAGTGGCTTTGGGTGGCCCTGGGCGGCTGCCTGGCCCACCGGATCTTCCCCCAGGCTCTGCTGGATGGCCATGTTGATCAGCTCGTCCTCACTCATGCTGCTGTACAGATTGTATTCCTCGCAGCCTATTGTTTGTCTTTGGGTATTCGCTGCTGTTGTAGCCATTTTTGGTCTTTTTTTTTTTTTTTTTGCTGTCCTGTAGAAGGAAATTGTGGTGATCAAAATGTGGAAAATGAATGAAATTCAAACATCTTGTTCTTTGTTCATCTCTGCCTCGAGTGTACCGACCAACAAATCTTTCAGGAATCCTTCACTAGGGAGAGAACGTTGTCAGTCAAATCTGCACATGAACTTAGTGAACAAACTCCTTCCTACCACATACAAACACCTGATGCACTTGTTGATTAAAAAGGGAAGAGAGCTGCTGCAAGCAAAGCAGGTTCTTATCTACTCCTTCTGATTACCACAGTTCAAGAGAAAAATAGGTAAAGGAAATCCTCATCAGATTAAAAAGAAATAATTCTGAAGTGAATTTATTTTGGACAACACCAGTGAACATCTTTTTGTGTATGTTTTGTTGTTGTTTTATTTGTTGCTCTAATGGCAGAAAATTATGGGACAAAGTTTGTCTGTCTGCAGGTTTTCTGCAAGGGTAGGTTCACTGCCACTGTAAAGCAACTCAATAATTTCTTCTAATCTGTCTGAGGATCACTTTAGCAACATGCAAAGCTATTCTTTGAAGTGACTTCCTTTGTTTCACTCATCTAGCAGAGCAATGTGACAATGCTCAGTTTCACTTCTGATTTTTTTCTGTTCACAGAGGAAAGTTCAAGGTCATCAGCCTTAAGACTTAAGGTAAGACCCTCTGAAAACTGGTGTTGAGAGCTGGTAAGGAGAGAAGGGGAAAACACCAGGGAACACTCAGAAATCACAGAATGAGTGCATACCCTCACCATCAAACAGACTCAAAAAAGGCACATTACTACTGAATTTCCAGCAGTAATAGGGATGTATTAATACCATGTAGTGTGCACAGCAAATGCATACATTATGATGTTCTAGCAGAATCTCCTTCAGATGCCCCAGGGCATTCTGGCCATTGGTGTCAATGAGACAAGGGCTTATATCATGGGAGATGGTGGAAAATCTTGGCTCTTTAAGATGACAGTCCCAACCTGGGGGAAATGGTAACTCCCCATATGGAGCTATGTACATCAGGACACTCACACTCATTTCTTTAACCAAAATTAAGAAGAAAAAAAATGAAAAAGAAAATAATACAGAGTTTAAAGCATTACAAGAACTTGAATCAAGACAGAAAAGGCTCCACCCTTAGATTTAAGTATTTCACCTTAGAAACAGTGATGTTTGTCACATTCACAGCCCCCTCAGGCTCCAAGCATACCCCAGAGGAAGTGGGAAAGGGAACCCCAGCAGATTTCAGATTAGTGTTATGACTCTTTGCAGGGAAGAATCTATTTTGCAGTCATTAAAACTGCCAAAATTTAACCTTCAGTTCAGATAAATAATGCAATTCATTTTTGTCGGCTTTTGTTTTGTTTTTGTCCAGCCTTTCAAGGCTACCCCAGTGCAAGTGGATCTCAGCTCTACTCTGACCCTTCACTGTTCCAAGGAACAGAGCCCAGGCATCAAACCACTGATAACTCCCATACAGGAGCTGCTACTGCCCCATGCCCCAACTGCTTTGGTGCCTGTCCTTGGCTGCACTCCAACCTACAGCTGGCCAAAACCCATTACAGCCTTGTTTTTCAGCAGCTTCTGCTGCTGCTTGGCTTGCTCAGCTCCTGCCATGCTGGGCAGCACACTTACAGTCCCGCAGCCTAGATACTTACCTAGTAAGTGGTGCTCTGTGGCTGTGTGAAACCCACGGGCTGGAATCAGCAAGCTTGTTTGCAACATTCAGTGCTGCAGTGCCCAGATGTAGGGGCCTGGCCCAGATGGTGACTCAGAGACTTCAACTAAGCTGTCACTTAAGAGGGCAGGACCTTATCCAAAGCTCCCAATGCATGTGGTGCACAGTGACTCTTAGGAAGAGGCAAGAGTGGAGCTAAAGTGTTGTTCTCTGAGGGGAACCTGCACTGGAGGAGTTTAGGGCAGATCCTTCTTCTGTACCCTCTCCAGCCCCACCACCAGCATCCTGACTGTACAGCAGTGGCAAACTGGATTAGGTAATCCTCTAAAACCCCACTGGATCTAGGTATAAAAGACATTTCTGGACATCTTGCTCCCTCTCTTAGTCTTTCCTGCCTTGCTGAGGCACAGTGAAATTAAAGGAACGAGTTTGAATTTGGGGATTGTTCCTTTTTCACTCTCTTACTTTTGTACAGGTTAACTGGGACCCATCCACTCGAAGAGGAAAGGGAGAAACTCCTCTGTGTTGGTGATCTTCACTAGTCTAAATATTTTGACAGGAGCCCCATGCAGAAACAACAGTGCTGGCAGCAGCTCCCACTACTGACTCATCCTGTAGGCAGAATGTTGTGGGGCCCAAAATAGAGAAAACTTTCAGTGTTGCTCATCTGACTGACTTGGTGTGGGTGTCAGGGTCACATGTAAGGGCCACAGGAACTTTCAGGGCCATCTAGACAGCCAAGCATGGCCTCGGCCACCCTGATCCATATCAGTTCAAGTTGGATTTGGATCCATTCTCTGTTGAGATGCTTTAGTGGATGGCTCTGAAACCTCAGAGTTCTGATGTGAGTTCATTTCTGTTAGAAGCTGCTGAGATCCAGGAGAACTGTAGCAGCCATCCATGTGTGTACCATCTTTTCTCCCTGGGCTGGGCACAGTCACCTGGTGCAGCCCTGCCCACTTGGGCAGCAGTGAAACACCAACCACCAACTTACGAAAACCCATGAGAAAAATCAGCTACAGGTACTTACCACCTATAGTACCAAAGGTGCAAAAAAAATCAATCTTTCTTGCTACAAATGGATGAGCCAATTCAGTTAAGCAAGGTATGTTCAAAGCAGTCTCCCTGAATTCATCTTGGATCTGCTTGTTTGCTTCCATACTTCCTATTGTAAATTTGAAGTACTGGAGCAGGATATAGAAATGAAATGCTGGGTTAATTGTTTTTCTAGCCCAGGTTTTTTTAGGAGGATTTCATGTCAGGCTGTCCTCTGCATTTCTCTGGCAGCCCAAGAGCCTGTCCTCACACGTGAGCAGCACATTGCATCACTTACACTTCAAGAGCAAAACCTGATTTTTAAAGCTGTGGTTGTAGTGCCTGTGTTAGTAATTAACACCTTGCCTTCAGGTCTGAATTGCCTCATTAGTGATCTGCCTTGTTAGAGATGCATCACAGGATATTACTGCCTGTGCAACCATTTAATAGCTCAGTCTGACAAGACCTTCTGGATCTAAATTCATCATTATTTCCACCTCAGGCCTGACCCTGCTCTCCTAACACAAACAACAGCCCCACGTGATTTGTAACTTTGCTCTCCTGGCTTTAGTTTAACTGGCTTGAGTTTAATTTAAGTGTGGCACTCAGGTCTGTTTCATACAGAGGAACTGTAGGTGCAGGTAAGGCCTAGCAGGGGGCTCAGCAGGGAGGTGTTGGGCAGCCATGCTCTGCCTGGCACCATGAGCAGCTGTACCTGGCTCTGGAACTAGAGGTGCTGCTCACGGGGTGACTACTGAAGCCACTCACCTTGTGGTAAAAGCCACAGACAAACACAGTTTGGGTGCTGTTATATTTGTACCACAGGCTCTGTCAACATCCAGTGTTTGGGAAAATGGACCTCTGATCCCTGATGCAACATAAATAATGAGGTTTACAGCTGGCTTTGAACAAGGAGGACCGCACTGTTTGACACTATTAGCATGTGGAACAACTGGTCCATATAGACAGCATTTCTTTAGAGAAAAGCTTAGCAAGGCTGCCTGTTCTCCTTCATAAGATTGTAGAATGGCTTGGGTTGGAAGGGACCCCAAGGATCATCAAGTTCCAACACCCCTGCCACAGGCAGGGCCACCAACCTCCAGATCTGGTACTAGAGCAGGTTGCCCAGGGCCCCATCCAACCTGGTCTTTAACACTTCCAGAGATGAGGCATCCACAGCATCTCTAGACAGCCTGTTCCAGCATCTCTGTTCCACTCTCTCTGTGAAGAACTTCCCCCTGATGTCGAATCCAACCCTTCCTCCTAGAGCTTAAAACCTTCAGTAGACCCCAGGCAGTAGAATTATCAGAATTGCTTCTTGCCATCATAGAAGGGTAGCAGGTGAGTGATGAGGTCATCAGGGAGCAGAGCCAGGGACTCTGTCTACCACTGCTCTTCATTTACTCCAATCAACTTGTAACTCTATACGGAACTTCAGCATTTATGGCATAGGGTGTGATAAACTACATCTCTAAAAACACAAAATCAAGACTTTGAGAGGCTGTAAAAAGGAGAGAAGAGGAGTGGTTTGCTTGTTTTGCCTTTTGCAAGATTCGATTGAGCCCCAGATTCTATGGATATTGCTCCCTATGTTTGCCTTTACTTCTGGAAGCAGCAGCAGTATACAAAGGGAAGGTAAACACAATTGGAAGCCTTTCCATAAAACCAAGCCTACACTTCAGCCCTACTGCTACATCTTTCAGGCCAGATTTCTGCTGACAATGGAAACTAGACCAATTTACAGCATTTAAAGCATTCATGTTTTTGCTTCATTTTAGGGCAATTTCTAGCCAAATCTCTGGTATTTTTTTTAAGTGTATTTGTTAACTACTGCCAGAAGACAAATGATGTTTCAAAAACAGACACATTTTTAGTGCCCATCATATCTGTCAGAGCTGGGGCATTAGAAGAACAACACCTCATGCTGTCCAGCTGTGGTAACAGGCAAAAACATTTTGTAACGACGGCTTATGCAAACCGGTCAAGTTACAGCTCTGTGCTGGAGAGCAAAGCCAGGCATCCCAAAGGAATCCTCTGAGCAAACAAGTCCCTCGTTCGGCCCCAGCTGTCAAAACAGGTCACCTATCAGTCTGGCATGTGTTACGATGCCATGAAGTTCTGATTCTGTGCACATTCTTTACTGGAAATAAATACACCTGCATGCTTTTATTTCTTCTCAGAAAGCGTTAATTCATACAGTAATCACTGCAATATTAACTTTGTGTTGTACCAACCAGAAATTTATAAGTGAAAGAAATAATTTGCTGATGTCATCTTTCTTCTTTCACTATGTCTTGCATGCTTCATGCATCATACCTTACAGTGTAATTACGACAACAACAATTATTTCTGAGTAAGTTTTCTAAGCAACAAAGATAAAAGCACTACTGATAAGTAGAAGAAAAATGAGGAAATGACAGAGCTACAGTTCTGCTTAACTCCAGTGAGAGTTTTACAGCTTGTGTGGAAAGAA